GAAATGCTTCTGCTTCGCATCGCATTAAAAAAAACTCGCGACGGACTACAGAAATGCTTCTGCTTCGCATCGCATTAAAAAAAACTCGCGACGGACTACATAAATGCTTCTGCTTCGCATCGCATTAAAAAAAACTCGCGACGGACAACATAAATGCTTCTGCTTCGCATCGCATTAAATATGTGAAAGGTAAAATAATGCATTTCAAGTATTGATTAAAGATCTTGAAAGAGAAACTTATGAATATCAATCGAAATTACTTAACATAATATATAAAGAATCATGATAGTCTTTTAGATGCTCTTGTCGGTAGCTACAAACGACCAATCCAGAAGAGCATCCACTCGAACTATGTGTGGGATATCACATGAGTAGATGCTTTATTTAACTACAACAGCATGCACCCATACTGTGGCATAACTCTGCAGAATGCTCTAACAATTGTGTTTTGACAAGTCGCAACAATCTGAATTTAAACGCAGCAATTTCTATTCATATTTTGATAAAATTTTAATCTTATTGTTTTCTGAGCCAATTATTCTTTGAATTGAAAACTGTTATTACTCTCCGACTCCACTTTTGTATAAGGGAACAGTATAGTGTTTAGTCGAGTTGATTTCCTGTTATATTACATGAACTTACCATTATAACGCTGATCGATAAAATCGGAAAAAGTCAACGATCAAATGGTATTTATTGTTCAATGTTTTTATTTCTCGACAATACAAGGACATTTTTTTATACGAGAATGAGACCATGCATTCAAATATCATTGACTTCTCAATCAATGTTGTCATTTTCATTAGTATTTATTTGAGTAGATAAACGTATTGGAAATTTACCAGGTGCAAATCAAAAATTAAAAGAAAAATTTCGAAAACTTCTTTCACCTATTCGCCAATTTGATAAGCTAACATCTTGTTTAGATTCAGTTGAGTTATCATTAAAAGATAGATGTTTTCTTTTTTTAACATCAGATAGTTTTGCTGATGAAGAATTTCTTAAAAAAATAGCGTCATTACCAAATGTTTATCATATTTATATTTATGATCAACAAGGAAATATTTATTAACTCGCATCAGCTATCTTAAATAAATCATCTTTCTTTTCTTGAATAAATGGTGTAATCTCTTCTTAATTAAAGAGAACGGTTACATATTTATTTGAAGACACAAAAGAACAAAGGAGACAGAATCTAATACAGAACAAATAAATTTACAGAAAACAAAAAAAGAAGAAGAAGAAAACTTAAACAGCAACAAGTTCATCTGATGTTTTAAGTCTTTTAACTGAATAACAGTTACTATTGTCTTTTTCATTTTGTTGAATTGAATTCGTTGTAGTTGATGATGATGATGAAGCGGTTGTTATTGTTGGTTGACTTGCCAATTTAGCTGCTGATACTAATTTATTTATTATTGGTAATTGAACTGTTGAGCCAGATAATGTTAATATTTGAGCCTATTAAAAAAAGAAGTTTCGTTTATAGTTTTATTGAATAGATATTTACTGGTGAACGTGTATCTTTTTTAACAACTACTGAGATTTTTGGTTGAATATTTCGACGTTCAATGGAAATACTTGATGCTAATCCATTTGATGAATTGATTCCATCATAAATTGATAATTTATTTTGAAGAGTTAATTTAAAAAAAAACAAAGAGCTTTTAAAAGAGAAATTAAAATAAATTTACTTCAGCCATAATAGCAATAGGAGTTTTATGCGTATGTAATGGAATTTTATGTTCAATTAAATAAAATAAATATTCATCATAAAGAAGACGAATTAAATGACTTTTTGGGGTGAAAAATCAAATTTATCTATTGTAATTGAGTGTTGTCGCCGATCATAATTGATCTCAGCCTAGTATAATCGACTGGAATCAGTTTTTTAGACGCTCGCTAGCTTTTGTATGAGGAATAGACAATACGTCATTATATTACTTTATGATATGATATTGCCATTTTACGATTTATTTTAATACTTCAAGTGCATAAACCATGTTATCATTTTAAATCTACACTCATTCAATTCAAGTATTGATAGTTTAAAAATATTAACAATACTTCAAAAAAGAATAAATAACTATTACATCAGCACACCTATTTTAAATTGATCAACAAACGGCTTGATAAATAATAAGTGATTGGTTTAACTTCAAACAAATTCAAGCAATCATTAAATTACAAAGGAGTACTACCTGATAACTGCACTCTTCATTTATCTGGAGTTTTTAAACAAAAATAGTAAGCGCATAGGTAATCCACACGCCCTGGGATAATTTATACCATTAAGCGAAAGAAACCGATTGAGTTTTTTTCTGTTTGAAATTGATTCTTTGGATTTCAGTCAATTGTATGTTGAAAGTCGATACTAACTCGATTATCTTTCGAAAAATCATACCTCTTGTAATAATATCAGATTGTGCTGCTCCTCATGAAAAGTAATCATGATTTTCACATGTAAGTGAAATTAGCATCGTATTCGATTAAAACCTGTCGATACCCTTTTGAGCTGATGTCCCAACGTGCATGTTCATATTCCTAGTGGAATTTCACATGTTCTATCAAATGGTAATTTGGATTAGCTAGATCTTGAAGTGTCCTCCTGCAAATTCGAAAATCCAAAAATCTCCTGGAATTCTTTTTTTTCAATATACACACATTCATTTCAAGAAATATTGCAGTTCTCACACTCGTGCATCAAACAGATCTCAAGAAATTTCATTGAATTGTAAAATCAGATTTTTCATCTCTGATAATGGTCCCGAAAATCTCAAAATACTGTATTTTTCTATGAAATTCTAGCACCATAGTCGATTAAAAGTTCCCCATATTTATCAAAGGGCTTGTTATAAGCGTTTCACTCATGATAAAAACATAAATCCAGGAGATCTGTTCATTGATGTCTGCAGACTTTTCATAAGTTAAAGTAGGGTTTTTTTAGCATTATTCTATCAGCGCTGATGTCTAATGTCAAGCTACGTAAAATATGTGAACATGACTGGATAGAGTTCGTCGAGTTCCACTTGGAGCATAGGTACGAGAATTGGAACATTGGTCGAAGTGACTATGGCCGGATTTTGCAAAAAAAAGGATTTCAGGATTTTTTGGATTTTTCGAAATTTCAGGAGAATGTTTTAAGTCTAGTTAATCGAAATACGCTATTCGATAGGATATACGAGGCTCTACTAGGAATATGAGTATGGACGTTGGAAAATTAGCTCTAAAGAGCATTGAAAGGTTTACTCGAATGCGATGCTAACTTCACCTACCAGATGGTCACTTAATACTTCTCACTGAGATAGCTTGAGTAAGCTACAATCTAATAAATGCTACTATACTTTAAGCGAACAGCTAGTCATCGTAAACGACCGTTTACGGAGATTTTTTCACGGTCCTCGTTTAGGGTGATCGTATTTCATCGTATAACTTCGTTTACGACAACAGTAAATGACTACAAAATACGGTCGCCGTTTTTCACCGTGAATGATAGGTATACGGCCGTTTACGGCTCAGGTTGATCGACCTGGGTGATTTTGATAAATTAATTAAATAGTTGAAATGTGAAACTAATAAAAGTAAATTGCCTTCTTGAAAATGAAAATATTTTTATTGCCTTATTTTACGGACAAATTTTAAATAGCTACGTAATATACAAAGATTCGGCATATTTTATTTTTTTAATCTTAAAAAGTTTATAGTAAGCTTATAGTCATACAGTGGTAAACTTTTCCAACAGATGTACAGAAAAAGTCGTTTGCTTATGGAAAATTAATTTCGTTCAATTTTTATAAATTTATTCCGAAAAATAAATAAATAATGATTGTGCTTAATACCAAATAATAGTTTACTTTAATCTAGATAGTTCATCATGTAAGATTCGAATATTTATAATAAAAAAATATCAGTATAAAATAGTTCTTATTTTATGTTAATAATTGTATTCTGTCATTCAACTAGTCGTGTTAGTTGTAAGTGATTAAAAAGATATTGTTGACAGCAAAACACTCTGACAAGGAGATATAGCTCAGAGGTAAGTAACTTGTTCTACAATTCAAAGTTCAAAGTTCTAGCCTTCATCACCACGCTTCTCTTTCATGTCGTAAGTTAAATTCCTTGTTCTGTATTATATCTTTAGGAAAGAGCTGACCATTATGTGGTTATGATGGTGCCGCAGCACGAATCTCCGAGAAAAAGATGTTCATTTTTTCCTTAAATTTCTTCAAACGCGTCCGAACGCATCAGATCTTTCATCAAACATTTAGATGCGGTTAGGTGCGGTTACAAAACGCGTTCAGATGCATCAGATGTTTCATTTTAGCTGCGTTCAATGCGTTTCGTGCTTATCATTTCAAACGCAGCTGTAGCGTGTTCAACTCTGCGTTTGAACGCACAAAGTTTTCACATGGGCAATGAATTGTGTTTCTCGTAGAACACCTTTAGGAGAAATAAATATACCGGAACATGATAATAAGACGAAATCAATTAATAACCCACACACCTAATACTTTATGATTTGTCGATAGCAATACCAATAATAAAACAGATTCCTGAGAAAAAACCAAGATGTCTTTTTAATGTTACTTCATCGGTTGGTAATACAGCTTGCAACGGTTCTGAATGAACCATAGATACTATTGATATACGTCGATGTTTAATAGCAGAAGATTCAACATGATGATAACAGTTATTTTGATTAGTATCCACTAGAGGGTGTAGGTGTCAGAACAGAACACGCGCTCACATCGCTTTCAGGGTGATCCAAGCTTTTCAGTACTAGTCCAATTAATCTTAATCACAGTTCATAATCGAAGATTAGAGTGTATATTTTGTGAGAACGACTAGAAAATGCTTGAATTTGCCCACCTGTGCCTTGATTAGATAACTCTAACGGATAAATGCTTTTTATTTCTGTGGTACTTGGTCATATCTCGATTAATTTCGTAATGTATTGTATTTCATTTGTGATAGAGAGGATGAAAACATTCGAAATAACCTTTATTCTTCTTTTTTTGTGATCAAATCTGTTTAGTGTTGGTTTTTATACTTGTTCTTTGGCGTGAGTGCTATCTTGTATACTTCTTCAATGTCGTAGATCAACTGTAGCTAGGTAAATAAGAGAAAGATGAAATTTAAAACTAATGTAAAATGATGCTTCCATATGAAAATGAGAATCGGTAATCTGTAGAACGTTTTCTCTCACTGTATCTTGAAAGTTATATGATAGCAAGCAGTGTTTCGTATTCAAATTGACAATGATCGTTGTCCCTTTGTTGATAAAAATGAGTTTTTTTTCATTTATGTCAAAATAGTATTGTCGCCGGTCCGAATATAAAACGGGCGAAATATATTGATGCAGCTTAATGAGCCTGGCAAATTTGTGTTTCGATTTTCGTTCGCTACTAACGTGTTAGATACGTACATCTCTCAGTAGTACTTGATGATCTAAAAGAAAGAACTAAGATAAAAAGAAAAGAATAAAAAAAGAAAGTCTTATCATCATTGTAGAGGGTGCAGAATAAAACAAAGCAACGGCGCACAATCGACGATAACAAATTCATTACGTTTGTATCGACATCATATGATGTTTCTTGTCTGTATTGCCGTCATTGTCGCTATATGCCTCCTCTTCAAATTTCTTAATGCTACAGATATACCCTATATCCATGGTATTCCAGAAGCTTCAGGTTTGCCTATATTTGGAAGTTTGTTTGAGTTAGGAGACAATCATTCCAAGGCTCTTTCGCGGATGGCTAAGAAACTTGGTCCTGTTTTTCAAATTCGCATGGGAAACAGGAGAATTGTGGTAGCAAATTCATACGACTCCATCAAGGAACTCTGGATTAAGAATCAAACTGCACTTAGCAGTAGGCCTGCATTGCATACATTCCACTCTGTTATTAGCAGCAGTCAAGGATTATCGATAGGCACTTCACCGTGGGACGATTCATGCAAGCAACGTCGTAAAGCAGCTGCAACAGCATTGAACAAGCCTGCTGTACAATCCTATATGCCAATCATCGATCTTGAATCGTACACAGCAATCAATGAAATACTACGAGAATGCGATGATGGAAAAGCAGATATCAATATCATTCCTCATCTTCAACGATTCGCTCTGAATACTTCTCTCACCCTTAACTATGGTACACGTATTTCTAATTCATTTGATCAACTTCTCAAAGAAATTGTTGAAGTTGAAGGAGCAGTTGCACAATTTCGATCTGCATCTAATAACTGGCAAGACTACGTTCCTCTTCTCCGTATTTTTCCAGCCAGATCCAACGCGGCCAATTCAATTCGCCTTCGTCGCGATCGTTACCTAGGATATCTGTTAGAGAAATTGAAAAAAGAAATAGTCAATAGTACTGATAAACCATGCATTACTGGCAACATTCTTAAAGACCCTGCAGCAAAACTCTGTGAAGCTGAAATGAAAAGTATTTGCTTAACTATGATCAGTGCTGCTCTTGAGACGGTCCCGACGAATATCATTCTTGGCATTGGCTATCTATCGTCACCACATGGTCAGGAAATTCAAGAACGGGCATACAGAGAAATCCAAGATGTTTATCCTGATGGTGACGCTTGGGATAGATGTTTAACAGAAGAACGAGTCCCATACGTTACTGCTCTTTACAAGGAAATTCTTCGTTACTACACTGTCCACCATATGAGCCTTCCTCGACAAAGCATACAAGAAATTCATTATAATGGAGCTAGAATTCCTGCTGGAACCTCATTTTATATGAACGCATTCGCTGGTGATTATGATGAAAATCATTATCAAGATCCACATGCGTTCAATCCAGATCGGTACTTAGGTGATACAGATGGCACACCTCATTACGCCTATGGAGCCGGAACCAGAATGTGTATAGGAGCTCATCTAGCCAATCGAGAGCTCTATACTTTTTTCATTCGGCTCATCTTCGGATTTCGGATCCTTGGACCTCTCGACAAGACATATGCACCAGTACTAGATGGAATGGAAGTTAATGCAGTTCCAACAGCTCTTGTAGTCCAGCCTAAGATGTTCAAATGCCGCTTTGAGCCGAGAAATCGAGAGGATTTTGAATTTTGGCTTGATAGCAGCAGACAACGAGCAGAAAATTATTAGTCTTGATGGTTGACACTAATTAAACAAATGTTTGAGAGCTTATGTCTACAGTAATGTTACTGGTTTCAAAGCTCTGTATTATATAATGATTACTGTTAACATCGCCAGATGTCACCTTATGAAACTAACTCTTTGAATATTCTGTCCAATCACTCATCATAATCTTAAGAAGACTTTTTTCATTTTCTCTCCTTGATCATTCTTTTTATTTTCCCGTTGTTTTCTTCTTTTTCGTCTTCCGCTTATTACAGCTTATCAATACATTATCTTTGATATTGATTATTAATACTGATTATCATAACCTTTTGTCCCAAAATCATACAGGCCACGGCAGTCAATTTATTGTGAGCTTCTCTATAGTAATAACGGAGGTTGAAGCCATTATATAAATTCCCAAATGAGAACCTTACATCTTCTTAATGCACTCACACTTTCAACGCTATAATGAAAAACTATGATTCTTTTTTACTTAAATTATTGGCCAACTTAATTGATATGTTTATCAACTTCAAAACACATCTTCTTAGCTAATACTAATTAAGAATTTTGAGACTAGATTAAACACGGTTAGCTATTTGTTATAATAAATAAATAAATACTCACTTCACCATAAGCTGTTAGATTTACATCAAGTAGAAACATGATAAGCTTAACCCTTTCCAGCCGGTTCCCAGTAGCGACATAGTTAAAACTCTTCTTCTACATATATTTTCTTATCTTGCCATAGAGATAGCAAAAAGCTATTTCTTAAAATTGAACGGTACTTCTATGTTGAATAGCTGTATGTTACCATTTGGCAACAGCCGGCCGTAAAGGGTCAAAACTTTGGAAAATTCATTTGTCATTTTCGATCATCGAAATTCACTATTTTGCGTCTTTTTCATTTAATTATTCAAGAAAAAGCATAAAAAATATATACGATACACCTGTATAGTTTCTGCGCAATCCAAATCGACTGTTGTATGAAAAATTTGACATACGTTGAACTTAACGAGAGAGTAGTTGCATGGCTTTTTCGTTGGTGGTAATCAGGATAGGTATTCTTGTAGATCTTTTATTTCTCTACGTCCATGCCAATACGTAAATTAAATATTTATTTCCATACCAGTTATTGAGAGCTAAAATACTATCATGCTGGCTTTTTCTCATAGAAAATTCCATTTCATGCTAGGAAAAGCTATGTAAATGCACCAGATATGTTTTGTATGCTTTATTCTTGTATGAATAAATGAAAAAACGCAAAATAACGAATAACGATGGTCGACAACGAAAAATGATTTTTTTTTAATTTTGACCCCTCACGGCCAGCTGTTGCCATTTGGCAACATCCATACCTCTTATTGTCAGTATTCATTGAATCATATCTTTGAGTGATACAATATACAATAGATCAAAGAGGAGAAATTTACCACTAGTGACCTGTGGGATTGAATGATTAAGGGTGCCATAAGAACGTCTTTTATGATTCAGTTGTTCTTTAGGAGTACTTAAGAGGATTCAGGTAATTTTCTCATCTGAACGCTTTTGTTTTGTTTCATGGACTATAAGTGCGTTCTAAAATGTCTTGTAGTAATTATTGAACTATTGATTCACTATCTATCCACAGTATAGCTATACCTTTCTTAAAATATTGGCACAATGTTGCCAAATGGCAACATCCGGCCGTAAAGGGTTAATAATCAATCAGTTTTTATCGTAAACGTAGCCATATGACTTACATCTGTTCTTGTAAGAATTGAGTTTAAAGTCATATTCAAAAGTATACAGTAAAGCCTCTATTAATGAAAATCTCCCAACTCTGAACAATGAACGCTTATTTGGTCCATTCAGTTTAAAAAATTTCTGTAAAATGAACAGATGTACAACAAATTACAAGTTTGCTTATGAAACAAGGGATAAAAGAGATAAAAATTAAAAAAAAAGAATATAACGTGTATTCTTAAACAGTGCCACATTAATTAATCGGCGGTCTCTTGATCAGAAAGAAAATTCGTCGCATGTATAGCACAAAAAGAAACAATGAAAATGAATAGTCTGCGTAAAGGTGATCGGTTACATGTGAAAGAACAAAGCGCTTTTCTATTTACGATTGTGTGATGACAATGAAACATACATCATAACCCTCTCTGAAAAATTAGAGTTGATTCGTGAAAATGAAGAGAAGTTTTTGTACCATGCACTTGCTGACAAATATAAGATCTCAATAGACAATTGGTAACACACTTCGGACGGCAAGTATTGTCTGTTCGAACATCCAAAACGTAGCCAATACTACAATAAATATAGTGGCTACGATTCTGACCAAGAAATTCCTACTAATGATACCTCGACAGCCTTACAAAATCTAGGTATACTTCTTGCTCATCTCAACGTCAGTGGACAAAGTCTCCTAGCCACTGAGTTCATTGAAGTGCACGAAGAGACTTCAGCTTTCAACGAGTGGAACGACGTCAACAATAGCATGACTATCGTCGGTGAACAACGCCACAACAACGATAATAACGAGAAAGATGACGACATGCCAACTGAAACACTACCCAAGGTAACCGAGGCAATGGAGATGGTCAAACGATTACATATTTTAGCTGCCATTCAACAGCCACAACTACATTCGCTTATCTCTTATCTCTTATCTCTCAACTCGATTCCCAACTCACTCAACTCTTTATTGATTCGAAAGAAGTCAAACAGACAACAATCAACGATTCTTTTCATAGAAATAAAATAGATATGTGTAACAGACGAAAGAAATACTATTTGTTTTTGCTTTTAGCTAATTGTGGTGAATTCTGATACGAAAATGGCGTAGCCACCAATCGGTCATACTAAACATGACTGTATACATTTAAGAGTTAAGTTAATACAAAGCCTCCACATGATGAATACCTCCTTTAATGAACACTTTTCGAAGGGCCCCGTTGATGTTCATTATAGAGAGGTCTTACGGTGTATATATATACGTAACTGTGAATACTATGATTCCAGGATTGACGTGTGGATGTGTTTCAATGGACAGTGCAACACCAGCTCAAACAAATGGGTTACAAAAGGAGTAGTGTCACATATCCGAAATTTTGGAGATGTCATGGCATCTCACGTTGGAGACGCCGCACCTCCCGCAAGAAATCCAGTGTCACCAGTGGAAGACGCCGCGACATCTCCAAAATTTCGGCTATGTGACACTGCTGGAGTTCAAAAACATCTTATATACAACGGTAGACAGCAATTTTGTTGAAACTAACAATTGTAGCAAGATAATGACCCGAAGCACAAGAGTCGGTTAGTGAAGCCTTCCTTAAGTAATGAAGCTCTCAAAATAATCGACTAGCCATCGAACAGTCCCGATATTAATCCAGCCGAGAAATGAAAACCAGCAAATTCTCAAGGATTTAATAAGGTTTTATGTGCATCATGTATAATCTAATAAATATTTGAAACACTGACGATAACAACTTTTGCATCTTACTGTATGCATTGTTAAGCTACCTCATGAACTTCATCGAGTACTTTCACTACGTGAAAAATTCAATAGTCTTTTTACTAAGAGGAACAAGATCTAACGAACTATGAAATCACAGATTTCTCAATAATGCTAATAAATTTTTAGAGTAAAGAAATTTATTGTAAGCGATCAATTTTTAGGTGTGAAAAATGATAGAATCAGTTTTTAGTAATTCTGTTCTTTTCAAAATAAGATGATTTTAGTTTCGGTTGAAAACAACTTATAAAGATTCACGATTTCGAGCTGATTATTAACATCGGAGAGGTTTCACAAACTCCTTTTTGTTTGAGTTTAAAATATTATTGGTGAAACAAAAAATGGCTTGAAAACGAACCCTGAGTTTAGAAATTATAATCGAAATATAGTTGTGATTAGTGTTTTTAATGAGTAATTTCAAAAGCAAATAAGTTTTTCAACAAACCACCAACACGTTTGAATATTTATGAAGTCAAGTAGTTGCAAAATTTGTTTACTTTTGGAATTACTCATAAAAAGAAATAGTCACAACTAGACTTCAATTATAATTGCTATAGTACTTAACTGAGGTGTCGTTTTCAAGTCATTTTTGGCTTCACCAATTATATATCATTTTAAACTCAAAAATAAACGATGTTCTGAAACCTTTTCTAATGCAAATATTTAGCTCGAAATCATGAATCTTTATTAGTCGTTTTCAATCGAAACTATCAGTGCCATCAAAGTCCTGACAAAATCGTCGATTTTATCGCGATGAAATCTTCAATTAAATTGCGATATATCGTCAAAACTGGTGATTTTTTTGTCAATATTCCCAACAAAATCAAGATTCATCAAACAGCGATACCATTTTGATGAAATAGGTAGATGACATGAGACTGCTTATCATAGGGCCATCTCAAGCTCATTTTCTTTATATTTTGTGTTCTACAAAAAGAGCGGAATCAACAGGTATCAAAAATAGTCTATAGAAAAAATGCGGATAACAGAACCAAACAGTTAGATCAGGAAGGCCGATAGAGCTACAAATATAGCTTGATGACAAGATGAATGGCACTGCCCATGCGAATGAATTCGACAACAGATCTTATCGAATCCTATGGGATCCAACTCCCCGACTGAATCCGATAGGATTCCTGGACACGGGCCTATTGTCAGTTTCGACGGAAAAAATCATTTTCTTATTCACGATCAAATAAGCATTTTGAGTCATCAGAGCGCAAGGGTGATTCGTTAGAGTTGGATTCCGTTAAAATCCAATATCGGATCCGATTGAATCCAATACTAAGGATCCGACTGCAGGTCCGTGTCCAGGAATTCCATAAGAATTCGTCGGTTTTATTGAAACATATATGGTATTTGGTATATTCACTGTCTGACCCTTGTCGGAATTCGATAGGATCTTACTTTCGGAATGATTCTCCTGGGTGTATGATTTTCCATAATATTACCCATTGTGAACAGTTAAGTGAAAATCGCACGATTAATCGGGTTGCTAAATCGTGATAAATCGTCTAAACTG